GCTTTGTGGAACAGGGCCCAGGGCCCCGTTCCACAAAGCGATCTTAGCGCTACGATTGTCGTAAGTCAGTGTTAAAGAATGGGAGTTACGATCACCTTAGCGCTAAGATCGCTTTGTGAAACGGGGCCCAGAATCGCCTTGAATATGATACCCGGTTGTCAGTTTCAGCAGGGTGAACACCTGCATCAGTTGTTTTACCTCCACATCAAGCTGACACGACGTGATCAAACTGAAATATGTGTCCAATGGACGTTCAATAAACAGCTCATATTCTGTTAATTCCTACCCGTCAAGATCCGGGGTAGAATAGGTCTTCAGCAACCCATGCTTGCCGTAAAAGGCGACTATGCTTGTCGTAAAAGGCGACAAACGGGATCGGGTGGTCAGGCTCGCTGACTTGGTTGATGCATGTCATCGATCCCAATTGCGTGGATCGATGCTCATGACACTGTATTGCTCATGCTCATGCTCATGCTCATGCTCACTGTATTGTCTGGTCCAGACTCGATTATTTACAGACCGCCGTCACATAGCTGGAATATTGCTGAGTGCGGCTTTAAACAACCAACCAAACAACCAACTGTTAATTCCAGTTTTCGTGTGGTATTCAATGTTATTACTTGCCCATGAAGAGATCACCCGTTTAATAAACATACAGCTGTATTACACATTGTGTGATACCAACACGTGTGCTTATGTACTGTCGGAACAAGTTTCACAAACAAATAATGAAACTCTCAACATCCCTTGGCTTATTCAACGACATATCGTGTGGAGATGATAGATCACTGAGAGGAGCTTTTGCACACTCGATTACCCAAGCAACCTTGTTGCTAGGCTGACGTCACATGGCATTGTTTCGCTGATGGATCTTGCAACAATATTCCACAAATTACGTCATCGGGTATTGTGACGTGATTGTAAACTTTGAGGTGCAAGGCCCCGTTCCACATATCTATTGGAGTACACACATAGCAGAGGTGGCGGTGGGATAGCCTAGTGTTTAAAGTGTTCGCTCGTCTCGCCACGGGCCCGGATTCGATTTCGCACAATGTACAAAGCCCATCCCCGCCGTGCTATTCCTGGAATATTGCCGGCAGCGTCGTAAAACAATACTCACTCAATCACTTAACAAATTTATACGGTTGGGCCGAAATGCCCGGGTTTCGATTCCTTGTTTATAACTGCAATATGTTTTTTTGGTGTGTAACGCCAGACTCGGCAATATTCCAGCTGTACAGCGGCGGACTGAAAATAATCGAGTCTGGACCGGCAAAAACCAATGATTGACATCATGAGCAACGATCTTCGCAAGATGATATGCATCAACCAAATGAGCGAGCCTGACCACCCGACCCCGAAGTCGCCTCGTACGACAAGCATAGTCGCCTTTTACGGCAAGCATGGGTTGCTGATGTCCTATTCTGACCGGGATCTTCACGGGTATGCAATTTGTAATAATGTCATCAATCTCGCTTCTGTCTGTACCATCTGTGGCTGTCGACGCCCAGAACATTTCACTTTATTTACTACCTGTATTTCTGTGCGACAGATCGTAAATAGATGATAACATAGATCGGGAAGATTTGACTGCGAGAAAAGGCTTATAATAAATTTAATTCGTATTAATTCTTTATGCCATCGTCAACTCTACGTAAATACACCCCCCCCCCCCCCCCCCCCCCCCCCCACACACACACACACACACACACACACGCCCACACGCCCACATTACCCATCATCACAGAATTTCCTAAAATATAAAGTAATGTTGTATACATAGATTCGAAGACATCCATTTTACAAAAATATCATAGTTTACATATTTAACCTGGATTAACAGTTTTTAAAAAACCAATAACAGCAAAAGGCCCGCCCTTTATTTATGCATCCGCAAAGATTAATAACATTACAAGAAAAGTGTTTTGTTCTAGGTACTAGGTTATTTATTTATTTATTTATTTATTTATTTATTTATTCATTCATTCATTTTATCTACTTGTTTTCATCATCATCGCAAAGTTTGTTGTGAGAGATTCTTCTTTTGGCACTGACAAATGTGTTTACACAATATCTATTAAAATGTGGTACGTTTCTCTATCGTCCGTCAGGTTCCTTGTTGCCCAGTGCAGGGTCGCCCCACTCAGATGTGCCAGGATCCGCTGGTCGTGAGTTTGAATCCCAGGTTGTGGCGCGTGGTCTGACAGCACCCACATGAAGGTGACGCTGGCGATGACCATGCCATGTATTTGATTGGCAAAAATTGAAGAAAAACACACAACGTTCTTGAGAATATTTGTTTAGTCCGAGTCATTCAAAATTAACATCAGAAGAACCATTGGAATCTGAAAAATAAAAAAGATTTTAAAAAAATAATATGATTAATGGCATTATACGAAACTATGACTGTGTCGTATTACGTTTTAATTGCTAACAAACAACACTTTTTTAAAATTTTATCTTGCATCTGAGATAAAAACAAACAAAAACATGTATCACCCATACGACCTCAGTCGGACGGGCCTCAATCTGATAACGGCCATTCTATTCTATCACGCTATAGGTAAATAAATGGGTTTTTTTTAACCAAAATGGTTAGTTTACGACTTGCACACTCTTCGACATCCTGGGGCTCTCAAATGTAATAATTACGATCGGTCATGTTACATTCCTCATTCACAGGACAGAACAAATATTACATTTTTATAACACTCCAATTAATTGGTAATCGTGTCACTGGATTGTCTGATCAAAACTCTATTGTTTACAGGCCGCCGTCGTAAGGCAGGATTACTGCTACGTGACGTTAAGCAACAAGCAAACACTTACTTTTTATGCAAATTGTTTGATACTAGTAGAGCAGGACTGATTTTCAGTGACCAATTTATATAATTTCCACCACCGTTCTCCCCTTTACGCCCAGGGGGCACGGGTGGCCCAGTCGTCTAAGGCGCCGCGATTCGCTGTGCAGAGTTGCGTCCCTTGGGCACGCCAGAAACCTATGATTGTGGGTTCGAATCCCGGTTCGCCCCGATTACGTTTCTAGGTTTGTCAGCACCATGCCCGTGCTCGTGGGTTTCACCGAAGTGATAAACGTCTAAGACCTGCATCACTTCAGGCTTTCCTCCCACATTAAGCTGACACGCCGTGATATACATTGTAACTGGAATACTGTTAAAAGCGGTGTTAAACCCAACTCACTCACTCACCTTTACGCCCAATGGAATAATGGAGACTGATTATTCTGTCTCGTCGACGTTTCATATTAACCAATGGCTTGTTGGTAACACACGAAAAATTGACAAGTTAGTATTGACACTTCTACTTAAAGTCTAAGATACAAATCAAGACCCGTTACCATTTTACCTATTTTCCAGCGGTGATGAGAGCCTGCAGAAGGGCGACGTTAGAGGCAGCACTGTTACCGCTGCTTCTGCTGCCGCCGCTAGAGATTGGGATGGGGTAGTCCTCGGAGGAGGTGGAGGAACCTGACATGTTCAGTTCATATTTTAACCAAACAAACCTGCTTTTTTTTAAAATATCACAGCGGGCGCGCGCAGCTTTTTAAAAAATATCACAGCGGGGAAAGTCGTGATAACCATGCTCAAGATAGGCCCAACAGCAAGACCTTGTTTCAGCAGACTGCAATCCATTTGTATACACATAATTCTGATGAACTGCAATATATGGAAACATCTTGTAAAAACTTATACCCCACATGTTAATGAAAATTTGGTTTTGTAAAACAACAATCTTTGGAAGTGTTGTTACAATGTTGTTATGATGTTTGAGTTTGCGGAAATTGTCACTTCACATGGAGGGAGCGTGGCAGTCACGTCGTGAATAATGGGAGACAACTCTTGATGCACTGTGTTGAGTCTCTGTCAATTTTATTTCCAACGACAGAAAATGCGCATTGTCTTGCGTTTCTGTTTTGGCTTTGTCATCCAGCATTTCAACTGGATTACCCGCCCTTGCCACTGGAAGTGCTACAGTTACTTAGTTCCTTGTGTGACGCTTTAAAATGTTTTCTTTATGCTATCAACTATTTGCTCCATTTCAACATCTTGAAAATGATGAATACCCAATTGTCGCACAACAATGTCCACAGAGATTAGTGCAGATGTCTGGTATGTAAATGTAAATGATTGTATATAGTAGTAGTAGTAGTAGTAGTAGTAGTAGTAGTAGTAGTAGTGTAGTAGTAGTGGTAATAGTAGTAGTGGTGGTAGTAGTTGTGGTAGTAGTAGTAGTAGTAGTAGTAGTAGTAGTAGTAGTAGAGTAGTAGTAGAGGTAATAGTAGTAGTGGTAATAGTAGTAGTGGTGATAGTAGTTGTGGTGGTAGTAGTAGTAGTAGTAGTAGTAGTAGTAGTAGTAGTAAGATTTAGGGCGGACGTTAAAAAAAAAGTCAAGCCAATGCAGACTGAAGGTAAGATTTATCTCCCTTTGATAATGAAGAGAACCAATATTATTGTGGCTACCGGGGAGTTTTAGGTTCATCTTCAGGGCAGCCTTACCCGTCTATGAACAGGTGCTTTTCTCTACATGTAGCATGTGTATGGAGGTTTCTTTCGAAATTGCGATTATTGTTTTCCTGGAAACAGAAGTACATATAGCTTTCACTTACCTACCTCGCCGAACAATGTCATACCTGATATAGATAAGACAAATTAAGATACAAAAGCTAAATAAATATAATTACGAGAATTCAAAGTTAACACACGATTAAATATCCACAAGACATAGATGCAGGTCCCAGACGTTTACCACTTTGATGAAACCTACGAGTACGGAATGGTGCTGACAAACCTAGAAACATAATCGGGTCGAAACGGGATTCGAACCCACAATCATAGGTTTCTGGCGTGCCCTAGCGACGCAGATCTGCACAGGGAATTGCGGCGCCTTGGGCGACTAGGCCACCCTTGCCCCCTTTAATATTATAAGAATATTTTATAATTTAAGTACGTGCGTGAGAAAAGGAACAAAACCACCATTTTTCTTCAAATATGTTTATTCAATCCTAGTGTTCCAATATTGCATTTAAAGCAGCCCAATGTGACATCCCCAGAAAGTGGCATCTGAAAAGGATTAAAATTACAAAATCAGGAGTATGAGTGAGTGAGTTGGGTTTTAATGCCGATTTTAACAGTATTCCAGTTATATCACGGTGTGTCAGTGAAGCAGGTCTCAGACGTTTACCACTTCGGTGAAACCCACGAGCACGGGTATGGTGCTGGCAAACCTAGAAACGTAATTGGGGCGAACCGGGATTCGAACCCACAATCATATGTTTCTGGCGTGCCGGCCGTGTGCCCCAACCAAATCAGGAGAAATCCATGAATATGGGACTACACAGATATCCTTTCAGTTCACGATTTATTCATACTCAGGGAATGTTGAGTATTAGATTGTAACTAACCATATTATTTGTAAAAGTTTCCTTGAAACTGTTAAATTCTAGAGGACCTCGTCTATAGGAAAAGACTTCGGCTTTAACGTAACGTTCTCTTTACCTATTTTCCAGCGTTGATGAGAGCCTGCAGAAGGGCTGCGTCGGATGCACCACTGCTGCCGCTGCTGCTGCTGCCGCCGCTAGAGATGGGGACGGGTATTGGGATGGGGTAGTCCTCGGAGGAGGAAGAGGAGGATCCGGAGCTGCCTCCACAACAGCCGCAGCCGGAGGACCCTGAGGAGCCTGAGGATCCCGATGAGTGGTAGTGGTGCACGTGCTTAACTGAAGAGGAGTGATGATGGTGGTGGTGGTGATGGTGACGATGTCGACGGTGGCGATGGGCAAGGCTGACAGCCAGAAGCATAGCTGCAAGACAGACATATGTAATTTTCATTACTTCCTTTAGAATAAGAATACAAAGAAGATTTATTAAAAGGGCAATTCATCTTTCTCTCAAAGACTGTAACAATGTTATTGCTTTCAAATTCCACAGATTATTTTTTCTGATTTTAGTTTTCTGTCCCTTTTGAGAATTTATTATGGCTGTGTCTATTCTTGCTGAGTCTAATATGCACCTTCATAATAAGAAAAAAACAACCACAATATATGATATGATATATGGTAATACGTGAAAGATGGAATAGTTAAAACGAATATGGATTACAAGGAACAAAGTAAAAGTGACCAGTACCGGATCACTTGGTATTCTCAAGTAACAAATGAAAACCCAGTAATGTTACCATGCGTATGTGCTATCGGCTATCTATATGTCTTTTATCTTAAGTGGGCACGGCTGGCCCAGTCTAAGGCGCCGCGATTCGCTGTGCAGAGTTGCGTCCCTTAGGCACGCCAGAAACCTATGATTGTGGGTTCTAACCCCGTTCGCCCCGATTATGTTTCTAGGCTTGACAGCACCATCCCCGTGCTCGTGGGTTCCACCGAAGTGGTAAATAGTCTAAGATCTGCATCACTTTAGGCTTTCCCCCCACATTAAGCTGCCATATAACTTGAATACTGTTAAAAGCGGCGTTAAACCCAACTCACTCACTACTTACCAACAAAAACGAAGATGAGTGAGAATTTCATGGTGAACGTCTTGTTATCCAGTGAAAGGAGAGGAGAACTGATGAGGAGGAGACAAGTTGTCGTGTATATATACCAGAGACTCTTCCCATGTGGGGCCCACAGAGAGACGATTAAGTCAGCAGGATGTGGCTTTGCGAGACCACTGGCAGCGGGGCCTATGGAGATGATCGCATCTCAGATGAGATACCTGGGTCTTTAGCTGTTGTGATTTAACCTTGTTTCTAAAATAAACCTTGCTGCATCATGTCACAATATTATTTTATACTGCATCACAAACTCTTATGATGACTGGGGGTTTAATGCTTTCAGTAAAACAGCTTTTGTGTCATCACGAGGAGTTGTACATCGTCAATTAAAGACAGTCAGATATGAGTGAACGAGTTTGTCAAAGTTTATAGATAGTAACAGTATACAAATAGCACATGTACACAATTAGCGGGAAAACTATTGTTAACATTGAACAAAGCCTTTTATATATTTCAAGGTTGAAGGGGATTGATATTGATTATGAACTTTAATGGATCGGCAGATCAGGCACGGTGACTAGGTGGACAGCGTGGCGTCGTACCGAAATGAGTGAGTGTGGTTTTACGCCGCTTTTAGCAATATTCCAGCAATATCACGGCGGGGGACACCAGAATTGGGTTTCACACAATGTACCCATGTCGGGAATCGAACCCAGGTATTTGGCTAGACGACCGAACGCTGTAACCATTTGGCTACCCAACCTATCGTTTGCATCTCGTTTATCAGATATCTTTGAATGCATACTGTTCAATCCTAGTTGGAATTATTGGTCAGAATTTGTCCACAGCTATCCTTGTCAACTCATGAATCAATATTTTGGGTGGTCAGGCACATGACTGAAAAGTAAAAATGCCAAACTGGATTTGTCTTAATTTAGTCTTCATTGTTTATGCAAATATGATATGAGCCAGAATGATCTTTGCCGGAAAGCGACAAACCCCTCTCCATTTTCATAAGAAATCTCTGAGTCCATTGTATGATTCAGACCACATCATGAGCATGTGTTTATGAATCACTATTAAATAGGGATGATACCAGGTGTTCGCGAAAAAGGGTTCACATAATTCATGCACCAGAAGGACTTGCCAGCTGATGGAACAGCCTTTGCCTTCTAGGGAGGAAACATAAGATGTTTTCACTGCTTTGAGTGTTATTGTGTGACAATACTTATGACTCTGGCTGATAGTCTCAAACCCATCCATGGTTACAAATCGCTGAAAAAATCAGCTTCAAAACGTAAATGTGAGGTTTTCAGAAACCTTGCTAACACCGATGTCATGGCCAGTTCATTCCTCAGAATGTTCTCAACTCTCTCAGGATTGATTGACTGATTGTTTGTTGTTTAGCGCCGCACTCAGCAATATTCCAGCTATATGACGGCGGTCTGTAAATAATCGAGTCTGGACCAGACGATCCAGTGATTGACATAATGAGCATCAATCCACGCAATTGGGATACGATGACAGACATCAACCAGGTCAGGGAGCCTGACCACCCGATCCCGGGGAATTGCTACAAATTTCACAAAGAAGCGAATGTAAAATCTTCAACTCGTTCTCAACAATAAACCTCCCACAAGAAACGTAAAACAGTTCTGTATTGTGAAATGACAATGATTTATTGAAAAGAAACCACAAATAAAGATATAGATATATTTACAGAGTCAATGCATCTTGTGCCGGGGATGTGAGAAAGAAGTGGCAAGACTACCCGTAGGTAGTCGATCATATATACTTCATTCAAATAATTTATTAAGTTGATTTATTATACAAATTTAAAACACATCTGTGACGTCATTCTATTGTTTGAACGCTAGGAATGGAGAGTTGGAGAACTGAAATTTGAATTAATTTCCACTTGGAATGGACATTTACTGACAAGTGAATAATTTCATTTTTTTTCCCGAAAACATGTGTCGCCAGCGGGGTTCGAATGTAGATCCACGGGAATTAATCAATGTTAACAGACCTAATAAAAATCTTTTAGATGATAATTTTCATAATATTGAAATGTTGCATTTAATTCGTTTTCCTGCAACATGTTGTCCGTCAAAAGTAGTTTTCAGATAAAAAGGTTGAAACGATATTTTTTTATTTTATCACTTTACAGTTCACTGGTGAAGAGGAAAGCAAGTGACATGAGGAAGGAAGGGGGCAAAACAGGAGGTTGACCTGTACCAGTGTCTTTATCCCAACTTGAAAAAGGTATAATCTATTTTGAAATTTGAGATTCCAACTTGGTAGGGGCCACATTTAAAGCAGACCCATCTCTTTCCGGTCACTGCTGCAAGACGTCCCTGTTTCTCCGAGAGCGAGTTGGTTTTCACGTTTTCAACAGTATTACAGTATTAAAGTTATATCATGGCGTGCCAGCTTAATGTGTGAGGAGAGCCCAAAGTAATGCAGGTCTCAGACGTTTGCCACTTTGTTGAAACCCACGACCACGGGTATGGTGCTGACAAACCAAGAAATATAATCGGGGCGAACCGGGATTCGAACCCACGTTCTTCTATGGTGTCCAAGGCGCTTTGCGGCGCCTTAGACAACTGGGCGATCTGTGCCCCTTCGAGAAAGAACAAGTTTATTTTTCTTCACAAAACAATATTTTTAGCACACACACACACCCTGATCCCACCCTCTACCGTCCTAAATGGTCGGCCTCTAACTGTCAGCATTATAACTTCGTATGCACCTTGTGGGGATTCCCTTGTCAGAGGACGTGGCTCCCCAAATATATGTTGTATTTTATATATATCGCTATGTACTTTACTCTTACATCGGCAGTTTAACCCAATGCAAGTGAGACATTAGTTTGTCATCTCATTAGATCAGATCTTAGATCTTAGATTAGTAGACCACCTCCGTGGTCTAGTGGCAGAGAGTCCGCCCGGAGAGCGGAAGGTCCGGGGTTCGATCCCCGACAGCGTCATACCAAAAGACGTGGAAAGATGGTACTTGTTGTTACCCTGTTTGGCGCTCGGCATTAAGGGGCTAAAACAAGGACTGGTCGGCTCGGAGTCAGTATACTGTGTCTGAGTGGGGTATTCATGTTAAACTGCGGCATGGTATCTCAGTGAGCTAGCACTATAAATCGGCATCAGTCCGGACAAGTACAAGCAGCCACACAAACACATACGTGTACATGCACGTCGCTATATAAGTGCAATAATCTTGGACGCGACGTTAAACCCCATTTCACCTCACCTCCTTAAATTAGTGGCAACACCCAACCGGCAGTAAAACTATTAACTCTCATCTAACGTTCTTCATGAATATTTATTCAATCCCTATCTGTACCATCGCTTTGACAGTATCGCGGGGTTTAGCGGGTCCTCGCGCGGCTAAGGGATACAACTCAGGTGCGGCGCCTGAGGCCATTGGGTAATCCTGGGTGAATGAAGAGACAAGAAATAGGAAATATTGATGAACAGTAAAAATAGCGTGAATTATTTCTTTTTAAAAAAATGGTGATGTTTACATGTTCAAATCATTTCAAACAAATCACATTTTTTGACAGTATGTACGTAGGTTTGTAGGTATTTAGTTTTAGTTTTATTTATCAACGGGGCTATTTGATAATTCAATAACCTAACTTAACTTAATAATCACTCATTTATGGCATGAATGTTTACTCGCTAAGATAAGTTGGCTCGGTCCATTGGAGTATGTGAATCGACCAGATGCGTTTGTCAGTCGAAGCCTTGTCAAGCCGACCCAGATAAAAGGCCGACCAATTGATGTTATTGAGTGTCTGTTTGTGGGGGTTAGGTGAGGCTGGGATCCTATACCCAGATAGCTGTCAAATGTTCGGTCCCTGACGTTCGTTCCCTGACGTTCGTTCCCGCACGTTCGTCTATTTCCGTGAGGGTTCATTCGCACCAGCTGACATCTCCCAGGAAGGTTGTCGTGACACACACATAAAAGATCTGCTGAGTAAGTAACATTTCACATTAAATTATGTAATCATATGCATAATCATAATTATGTAAAGAGCACTATGTGTTATAATTCAGCTGAAGGCCATTGTCCGATATCTCCATTGTTTTCACGTGGCGCGTGTAACACTGTATGGCCAGAGACATCTGCTGGTGCAGATATCAAGCATTTTCAAATCAAATGAAATTGTGGCGTCATAATATAGTATTAATGAATGTAAGCTATACATTGCGAAATTCACATGTGTTTTAAAGCCGCCCAAACACCATGTTATCAATAAGCCACATTAGGTTCCGGCACAGGAACTCGATATAGAGGGGTGTTGTTTTTTTCTTTACGAATATATTATGTCATACACGCTATCATCGAGTTCCTGTGGGTTCCGATGGGTTTGTTGACGGAACACAGGCGCATTTGTGAAAAACAGGCGCCCCGCATGCTGGGGTCGATCTCAATTGCACGTAGGGCACGTGCCGAATATACCCGTCTGGTCGTCACGTGCAGCACTGTTCCCAAGTGTCCGCGCAACTCTCAAACGAGGAATCCAAGATTCAGTTTACAATCCTACGCCAATCTTGGCAAGCAATTCAATACATACACCTATTAAGCAACGACATATCCAAAAACTCTTCACCATTTTGTCAGGCATTTATATTCACAACACCAGTCTCATATCACTTCTTCAGTCAAAATTCCGGTCCGCGAGACCTCCCGCTATTCTAACTGCTGCAAGTCACGGAACAGGCAGTTTTCACAATATGGCCTCAATTCTGTAGCAGACAGCTTGACATCCAATCGTTATCAGCTGGTATTCGGTAATGTTGACATCGTTTGTTTGACATCATGACCTAAGGAACTGTGGGTAGATGCACAGGTCGCTCGACAATTGTCATGAGGTGAGGCGAAATGGGGTTTAACGTCGCGTCCAAGATTATTAAACTTACATAGGACGTGCATGCACATACTTGTTGTTACCCTGACTGACGCTCGGCAATAAGGAAATAAAAATGGGACTGCTCGTCACAGAGTCGACAAACTGTGGTTGAGAGGAGGGGAGGAGAGGGGAGGGGAGGGGAGGTGAGAAGGGGAGAGGAGGGGAGGGGAGGGGAGGGGATACCATCCTGCGGCATGGTATCTCAGTTGGCTAACACTATTTGCATGCACATTCACGTCGCCATATAAGTGCAATTATCTTTAAAACGAGGTTGAACCCCATTTCGAGGCGGTGGTCTAGCCTAGTGGTCAAGAACGTTTGCACGTCACATCGAAGGCCCGGGTTCGATTCCCCACATGCGAACAATGTGTCATGTCAATTCCTGAAGTTTGAATCATAACTATGTTTTTCAGAATTTTCCAACGACAATAAAAGAGCAAGGACAAGCATATTTTTTAATGAAACTCCCGGGTGCTGATTAGTATCCATTTATCGTGTCAGGATCCGCTAGTTCTGTGTTCGAATCTCGGATTTACCAACATCTCCCTTGACATGAGCTAAATGTGCTAAATGTGAGAGGAAAATTCAAAACGATGCTGTTCAAGGCGGCATAACATTGTACGATCCTATGACGTGCAGACCTGGCAGGTTTCCCCGCCTGTCTGGAGACATTGAAGGCGAAATAATCCAGGGTTAGGGGCCTGATACCTATGATTGTGGGTTCGAATCCAGGTTAGCCCCAGGTTTGTCAGCACCATACCCGTGCTCGTGGGTTTCACCGAAGTGGTAAACGTCTAAACACATACCCCCACCCCACACACAAACACATACACAACACAACACAACACACACACTACAACATACATACACACCATACAGACACTACAGACCCGTGAAGATTCCGGGGTAGAATAGGTCTTCAGCAACTCATGCTTGTCGTTAAAGGCGACTAACGGGATCGGGTGGTCAGGCTCGCTGACTTGGTTGACGCATGTCATCGATCGCAATTGCGTGGATCGATGCTCATGACATTAATCACTGGATTGTCTGGTCCAGACTCGATTATTTACAGACCGCCGTCATATAGCTGGAAATTGCTGAGTGCGGCGTTAAACAAAACACCACCACCAACAACAACAGTCACTACACAACAACACACCACACCACGCGGCGTTAAATCCAACATCCTCTCCTTATTATAATTTGGGGGCGGTCGGGTAGCCTCGTGGTTAAAGCGTTCGCTCGTCACGCCGAAGATCCGGGTTCGATTCCCGACATGGGTACAATGTGTGAAGCCCATTTCTGGTGTCCCCCGCCGTGATATTGCTGGAATATTGCTAAAAGTGGCGTAAAGCCATACTCACTCACTCACTCACTCACTCACTATTATAATTTGTCGGTAATAATTAATACTTTTTATTCTTCCTGCAGGTTGCAAGTCTAGCCTTGCAACATGGGAGTTGGAGGGTTATGGACCTACTGCAAAGACAACCGTCCTTCGTGTGGACAGAGAGTGGACTTCGTACAAGTTGCGAAGCAACGAGACGGGATTGTTCTTCTGGTAGATTACTACTCCTTTGAGTTCCTCATCATTGAGAAATTTTGGTCGACCTTGAGCAGGGCAACCGGCAACCCATACCTCAAGCATTCGGGGGGAGAATACCATACACTTAATGACTACATAACAAAGTTGATCCAGGATCTGAAGAGTCTTGGCATCGAACTTGAATTTGTTCTGGACGGTGCCCAAGGAACCTCACCGGAAGTACTGGATATGAGAACTCCAGTTTGGAAAAAACGGTATTCTCAGTATGTGAAGAATCAAAGCCAAATCATCAGTATGTTCAGTGGAGAGAAAGAGGCACGTGACTTGCGATCTTCACTGCAACCATTGCTGCTAACCACGCAGCTCCTCATGACGGTGAAGGCTTGTGGGTGTCCAGTTCATTGCGTCACAGAAGAAGCTGACTGCTGTATTGCACTGAAGCTGCAGACAGACCTTAAAGCATTTGCTGTTTTGAGTAACGACACTGACTTTTGTGTGTTCGAAGGAGGAGCGATGATACATAGCGAGATGTTTGATATGTACAAGAACATCAAACCGAAGACAGGGACATTGTTGCCGATGAAACCAAACAAACTGATTTGTCATGTTGTTTCGGCAGAAAAAGTTCGAAGAAGCCTGGGGGTATGTCTCAAAAGCTTTTCATTCCATATACCATCAGATTACACAAATGCGTTTGTGGGTAAGTACCGACTTTGTATCATGAAGTCTTTTCATTAGAAGCTTATGACCACGTCACCGGGATTTGTTTTCATTTCAAAAGAACTAATCCAAAGTCGTTCGTTAGCAACCAGGTACTGTCTTCTGTCACAATACGGAAATATTGGCATTCATCAACACGGGAATGTTTATCGTACAAACTTACAGAGATGCTGGTTGCCCCGTGATAAATCCATTTCTCCGCATATTGTGAGGTTGTTGGGGGGGGGGGGGAATGGGGTTTTATGTTGCGTTCAAAATTAGTTCACTAATGTTTTCTGACATCATACGTTTTCGGATTGTCTTGTTTACTCGCGCTATAATGACAGGTCTGGCGTCACACAGGACATTGTAAATACTCAGATGCTGGCTTATTTTTACGATAAAGTTGTCTTGCACTCTGTCACCTGGGGCTTCCCAAAGTTGACACTCCGTACTTCATCTGAAATACGACCAAACTCCGACAATTGACTTACGTTTCGTACCAAGTAATGGTCAAAGTATGCTAAAGTATCCACCTCATAACATTTGTGCTAAATGCATCCTCAGTTACAGAACCTCCGACAAATGATAGAGTTCAGCATTATGGCAGGGAACGACATCACAAAACCTTTTATGAATCAGCTCAGTCGTCTCCTTGAGGGGTCAAGGTCAATTCCGAATGTTACCAGATGGGTCCAGACCTACGGATTTGTCGAAAACCATCCTAAATATAAACAGATTCAGGTTTGAATTATTATTGGTTTTGTCTATATTAGTAACCAACGAGTAAAATGTTTGGTCCAAATTTTAATCTGTTAAGCTGTCGTCTTCACAGGTTGTACTGTACCGTAATCACTACTAGTAGCCTTAACATTCATGTATTTGCTAGAATGTTAAAGAACAATGACCCCATGAAGATCCGGGTTAGAATTGGTGTTCAGCAACCTATGCCTGTCGTAACAGGCGACTAAAGGGATCGGGTAGTCAGGCTTACTTACTTGGTTGATGCATGTCATCGCATCCCTGTAGATCGATGCTCATGGTGTCAATCACTGGATTGACTGGTCCAGGTTCGAGTATTTACAGACCGCCGTCAGAAAGCTGGAATATTGCTGAGTGCGGCGCCGTTAAAAGACAAAGTAAGAGTGAATAAACTTTTACGCCGCTTGAACGGTATTTCAGTAATATTATTACGTCAGATTCATATAGGAGAAAAGTCTGAAGGGATGCAATACGTGAACTATCCGGGGTAGAATAGGTCTTCAGCAACCCATGCTTGCCGTAAAAGATGACTATGCTTTGACTAACGGGATCGGGTGGTCAGGCTCGCTGACTTGGTTGATGCTAGTCATCGATCCCAATTGCGTGGATCGATGTTCATGATATCAATCACTGGATTGTCTGGTCCAGACTCGATTATTTACAGACCGCCGTCATATAGCTGGAATATTGCTGACTGCGGCGTTTAACAACAAACCCACCAACCTACCAATACGTGAACTGTTAGATGACTAATTAGAGGAAAACATTCAATTTCATTGACTACCAAATCTCTGTTACACCAGTGTCCAAGTTTGCAAGCAGCTGTAGAGAGGTCCAGGGCATTCTACACATTGGCAGCTGTGGAGTTAGACGAACCAAGCAACCCCATTGCAGCGTTACTGGGCAGGGGCATGACACTTGGAACTTTCCATTCCTCGCTGCTGGCCATGCACAACGGCGTTTACTGGGAGACGGTGCACATAGAGCAGCCGTCCCTGTGTGGCAAGACGGCCGAGACTGCCCTCGCTGAGCTCCGGAAGAGGATATACAGGATGGTGCTTCCTGAAGACGTCAACACCGTGACCGAGTTTGGCATCAGCCCTACAAACCAGCATTTCACAGGCATACAGGTAAGATATACATTTACGTTTTGCAGTCCAATCTATCTACCCCAAGCTAGTTTATTACAGAGCTTGTTCTGTATACTACTTAAATTAAGAGGTGAGGTGAAATGGGGTTTAACGTCGCGTCCAAGATTATTGCACTTATATAGCGACGTGCATGTTCGTGTGTGTGTTTGTGTGGCTGCTTGTACTAGTCCGGACTGATGCCGATTTATAGTGCTATCTCACTGACATACCATGCCGCAGTTTAACATGAATACCCCACTCAGACACAGTATACTGACTCCGTGCCGACCAGTCCTTGTTTTAGCCCCTTAATGCCGAGCGCCAGACAGGGTAACAACAAGTACCATCTTTTAACGTCTTTTGGTATGACGCGGCCGGGGATCGAACCCCGGACCTTCCGCTCTCCGGGCGGACGCTCTACCACTAGACCGCGGAGGCGGTACTAAAATTAAGAAAATCTGCTTCTTACACATAACTACTGTTAATCTGTCATGCCAATTAAAGTTCTTGAACTTATTTGGAGTAGTATATAATGAAACTACGTTTATCCAGAAAATGCCGGACGAGTTTTTTGGGGAACATGTACCTGTTTAAACCCATTCACGATAAAGAATTTAGAATTAAGTTGGAGTAAAGAATAGTCTATCACCCACGTCCCAGAGACTCTGTCAAATAAGTGCAGTGTTGTGACAGAAGATTTTCTCACACCAATCAATGTCATCTCAGCCCGACTCCTGGAAAGATTGGACAAAAGAGCTGAGATGTTTCACTTCAAAATGTCACGAGATGATCGTTTTATAGGTAATCAACAAAAACACATACACCAAGTGGGTGAGTGAGTTAGTTGGGTTTAACGCCGCTTTTAACAGTATTATATTGAAATCACGACGTTTCAGCTTAATGTGGGAGGAAAGTCCGAAATGATATAGGTCTCAGAAATGACCACTTCGGTGCAACCAACGAGCACGGGTATGGTGCCGACAAACCTAGAAACATAGTAGGGGCGAACCGGGATTCGAACCCACAATCATATATTTCTACCGTGCCCAAGGGACGCAACTCGGCACAGCGAAACGCGGCGCCTTAGACGACTGGGTCACCTGTGCCCCCCATACACCAACTAGTTGATAGAAGGAATATTATCCGACCGAGCCGAACACTTTTTTTCAGGACGTCCAGTATGCCAAATGAAATTTTGTCTTTTCTGTTGTCAAACTTGAACTGTTTCTTTCTATTACTCTCTGAAACAAATTAGTTTTTTTCTCTCAAAGTCTTAACTGTTTTCAGACAAATCAATTTGTTTTCCTGTCAGTTTCATTTGGAACGTTACCGGGCTTGGGCTGAAACTATAAACCTTTGTCAAGCTCTATCTAACCTTGAAAAGTCCATTCATCGAAAGATTCATACGCGAAGATATCTGGGGGCGGTCGGGTTGCCTGGTGGTTAAAGCGTTCGCTCGTCACGACGAAGACCCGGGTTGGATTCCCGACATAGGTACAATGTGTGAAGCCCATTTCTGGTGTCCCCCGTCGTGATATTGCTGGAACATTGCTAAAAGCGGCGTAAACCAATACTCACTCACTACCTCACTCTTTTTCGGCAGATTATCGAGACTGAATATAACCTGGCATCGACGTTAAATATTTCCAGGTAGACGTTGACCAGTACAGATCAGTTCCATCCATGCTGAATATTTGCCCAGGGGAGGTGCAGGAGAATCTTCAACACTTTGAGCGAATTATTACCCATCAAGAAGTTGCATGTATGTTACTTAAGTGCTGAGACCCGTGAAGATCCGTGGTAGAATAGGTATTCAGCAACCCATGCTTGCCGTAAAAGGTGACTATGCTTGTCGTAAGGGGGCTAACGGGTTCGCTGTCTTGGTTGATGCATATCATTGATCCCAATTATGTGGATAGATGCTCATGATGTCAATCACTGGATTGTCCGGTCCAGACTCGTTATTTACCGCCGTCATACAGCTGGAATATTGCCGTGTGCGGCGTTTAATATGAACGATGATCGAATCATCAGACTATTCTTTCATTGCTGTTCTGGCTCAGAAAATTCGGCCTTCTTCTTCCTCGTCAGTTCCACGAGGATTCTCAGTATCCAATACATATAATATGAGGATCGCGTGGTCACAATGTGTCATGTTGCTGATGGCGTAGCATCGTACTCCGATGACGTGGATCATTTTCATGCCTACAACCGGCCCGTGAAGATCCGGGGTAGAATAGGTCTTCAGCAACCCATTCTTGCCATAAAAGGCGACTATGCTTGTCGTAAAAGGCGACTAACGGGATCGGGTGGCCAGGTTCGTTGACTTGGTTGATGCATGTCATCGATCCCAATTGCGTGGATCGATGCTCATGTTATCAATCACTGGATTGTCTGGTCCAGACTCGATTATTTACAGACCGCCGTCATATAGCTGGAATATTGCTGAGTGCGGCGTTAAACAACAAACAAACAAACAAACAAACAAAATCATGCCTACAACCTCTCGTTTTTTCTGGCTCAGGCTCGATTATTTACAGTCCGACATAATATAAACTCGAGAGTAAAATCTGTAGGTGGTGTTTCAGAGACTAAGGCGTCCTGTATTTGCAAACAATGTTTTACCAATCGCCGTGTAACACAACCCTTATTACCTCTGCAGCCACCAAGTCCTGGTTTGAGGACTATGGCAGGAGAACAGGCTTCCTGTGCCACATCCTGCGCTACTTCCTGCTGCTCAACTGGAAGCAAAATTTGTTCATCACACAAGATGAGTTCTGTGCACTGTTCGCTGTGGTGTTTGGATCAAGAAACGAGAGATGGCACCAGGGACTTCGTATAAAGCCTTCCCCGCGAAGTGCTACCATAAGCGCCTGGTTCCAGGTAGGTGCGAACAGGTCATGCCTCCAGTGTTATAACTAATTTGAAATGTATAACATTGTAGGGCGTATGGAATGGCCAACAGCATCAGGTCATGCTTCCAGTTTTATAACTAATTTGAAATGTATAACATTGTGGGGCGTATGGAATGGCCTACAGCGTCAGTTCTTCCCGCCGAAAACCCATACTTTTATACCCCACACTCGTAAAGGGTGAGTTCATTCTTTGTGTCCCCGCCATGACAAGGAAGTGGCAATCCCACCCCACTCCAATATGACTGGATGACGTGGGTAGCCTCATGGTCAGAGCGTTCGTTCGTCACGCCAAAGACCCGGGTTTTATTTCCAACATGGGTACAATTGTTCGAAGCCAATTTCAAGTGTCCAACGCCGTGATATTGCTGAAATATTGCTAAATGCGGCGTAAAATCACACTCACTCACTCATAGTGAAACCTGATTAGTCCGATCAGGGGCCGCTGTACAGAGGATTCTTTTAAGGAACGTCAAGATTTATATCATTTCTTTAACAAAGCATTATCAATGATATAGGCTTACGACACAAAGACGTATATGTCACACTCCAATAACTTTAGTATGAAAACTGGTGTTGTTTACAAACAACGGAACAACATGGATATCTTTGAAGAGTGGACCTTTATTCTTTTTGTGCGAAGTTTCGGTACATATGTTCGTTGTTTTGTCAAGCAAACTATGAACCTGACCAGGATTCAAATCCAGGATTATGATCTTTGGTAGTCATCTGCGTCCTCCCAACCCATTTATATAATTAGTGATCACGGCGGTTGGTAAAGGAAACGCTGCAATAAAGAAATCATGATATCTGATTTTAGAAGATTCTGAAGTCATTTTTGTACAAATGTAACAAAAATGATCCATAAAAAAAAAGTAATCCTGCAAGATGTCACAAATTGAGACATTCAGACATCTTAACCAAGAGAGGAAATTGCAATGGGATAAGAATATTCCTTGTTCGGACTGTCAAAAATTCTTAATCAATCCCCTGCCAAGCCTGTTCAAAGCTGCACTCGGTCCGAGCGTCACATTTCCGGAGTGTCTACCTGCTATTTTGGGGAGTCTTGTATCATTCCCAGAAGGGAACGAAAATCGAGTGCAGATTGACGGGGTTAATAATGGTACCGCTTTGAGCAAGCACCTTGAGTGAGGAGGCTAGCGCAATTACAGTACACACATCATCATTAGATCACCATCATCATTATTATTTGACCCCCATTAACTCACTCACCCTCACTCATTCAAACTCTTGGAACTCACTTGCAGAAATGTGTTTCCAGAATGTCTACCTCTACGCCCACTCACTCACTCACTGCTTGTCGTAAGAGGCGACTAACGGGATCGGGTGGTCAGGCTCGCTGACTTGGTCTATGCATGTCATCGCATCCCAATTGCGTGGATCGATGTTCATGATGTCAATCACTGAATTGTCTGGTCCAGACTCGATTATTTTTCAGTGCGGCGTTTTGTGTTTCCAGAATGTGTACCTTTACGCTCACAGGCTTCTCGGTGTAGTCTTGTGTCTGTCTGACGAGTTCCCTACACAACTCACTCACTCACTAACTCACCCACTTGTGTTTCCAGAATGTGTACCTCCACGCTCACAGACTTCTCGGGGGGGTCTTGTATCTGTCTGACGAGTTCCCCACACCGGCCGACATCTTCTCAGGAGCTGTATGGAATTCCTATTACGCTTACCGCAAGTCCGAAGGTGAGAAATGTAGCCTCAGGCAATTCCTTCCTTTGATAAAAACTGCATCATGGTCTTTGTCCTTCAAAGAAAACCTTAATGGGTCTCTTGAAAGTAATACCATCCAAACCCATAATTTACCCACCAATAATCTGCCATGGTCATCCACACAACGGTCTGCAAAGTCGTCAAGAAATTGCTTCATTAAAAGATTAACATCTGTTGAGAAATGTTAGTTTTGAAGTTTGTGAGTGAGTTGGGTTTAACGCCGCTTTTAACAGTATTCCAGTTATATCACGGCACGTCAGCTTAATGTTGGAGGTAAGTCCGAAGTGATGCAGGTCTCAGACGTTTACCACTTTGGTGAAACCCACGAGCACGGGTATGGTGCTGACAAACCTAGTAACATAATCGGGGCGAACCGGGATTCGAACCCACAATCATAGGTTTCTGGCGTTCCCAAGGGACGCAACTCTGCATAGCGAATCGCGGCGCCTTAGACGACTGGGCCACCCGTGCCCCCTTTGAAGTTTGTAATTAGCATACTCGTGAAGGTACATGTATTCCTATTCCGCTTCTCACAACGTTTTGTTTTATATATCCAGACATGCCCACACCAGCCTTCAGCCGTTGTAAGAACGAAATCGACCAGACAGTGTCTTCAATGGAGAACAGGGACATGATGAAGGAAATAGTCAATGGGGTGTTCGGGTAGACGGGGGAGGGTAGAGACACAAAATTTATTTTCCCCTTTTTCTTTCACCAGGGAATGTATAAGTCAGAGCTCCAGATAAGCTTTTGGTGTTGTGGGTATTTTACCAATGCATTTTAAAATCATTGGGTATCAGTAATTCTATCTGCGTATTCAAATTTCTGTTACCCACTAGTTTTTACACATGTGGGTATTTAAGTTAAATATTTAAAAACACTATTCATCTAGTCCCTGCAAACTGGTGTCGTGTGGGTTCGAGAGCTTTATAGGACTCAAAAATACCACGATACTTCCACAAGAAAGTGTGATGGCAAATGATCATGATGTAACTGTCATCGTGGAGTTTGGCAAGGTTGACGGAATGCCCGTTTATAATTTCAAAATAAGTTGCTGATTTGCTAATCGAATACGCAGGGTTACTTCACAATATTTTGATGATACGCACAAGTTTTATTTTTGTAGCGTATCTGTAATGTTCGTTGCGTACTTGATACGCTTGGATTATATTTTACTGTGTATTTCTGCATTTCTGATGCGTATTTCACGCAGATACGCAGCTTATCTGGAGCTCTGTTATAAGGCGCTGGAAATTACTTTTTCGTCCCTAATTATCTTGGGTTCGAATCCCGGATTGGCCTTGTTTATGATTCTTGGTTTGTCCGCACCACACCAGTCTTCGGTTTTTCCAAAGTCAAAGTTTTAGGCCTGCTTTCTTCCCAGTCCTCGTAAATATTGTCCTCGTTTCCTGACGTGTTGTGGCGACGAGTGCGTGTCTGGTGTTTCACTGGAAGTCACTGTTATCACAGACTAACATATTTCTGGTAGAGAATACACAAACATGGAAGAGAAATAATTATGTCACGGATGAAATAATTAGGGAAACACATTTAAGATAATAAAGTCAATTTCTGCCTGGCAATGTTTGTAGATTTTTTTTTATAAGCTATTGTCGTCCTCTACTTGAGATAAACAGCATCTTAAGAGAAAAAGAAAATGTACTTACCGAAAACGCACGTGTTTATTTATCGGTGTTGTTGAGCAAAACGCTAAAACGTCGTTTGGAACACTTTGACTTCTTGATAAGTATTTTGTTCTGAAACACTCGTTAATGACTCGAACTTTACAAACAGGAATAAAGCATGATTAAGGTGTAGTAACGATTGCCAGGTACCCTTCTGTCCACTGGGGGCCCGGGTGGCCCAGTCGTCTAAGGCGCCGCGATTCGCTGTGCGCAGTTGCGTCCCTTGGGCACGCCAGAAACCTATGATTGTGGGTTCGAATCCCGGTTCTCCCCAATCATGTTTCTAGGTTTGTCAGCACCATACCCGTGCTCGTGGGTTTTACCGAAGTGGTAAACGTCGGAGACCTGCATCACTTCGGGCTTTCCTCCCACATTAAGCTGACACGCCTTGATATAACTGGAATAATGTTAAAAGCGGCGTTAAACCCAACTCACTCACTCACCTTCTGTCCGCTGGTAGGTTAGAAGGACAAACATGTTCAAGTGTACATGCAGATTAACATCCAGCAAAGCATGTTGAAGAGGACTATACAGACGCACACAAGTTAAGCTTTTACACAACAAATACATTGCAACATACGATTCCGACTATATCATGAGCATGTGTCTATCAAATAGAGATGATACCAGGTGTTCGCGAAAAGGTCAGCGTATTTACCCCACCGGTGCAAAGGCAAGCCAATTGTTTATCCAAACTGATTTATATTACTTATGCGTCAAATTTGAAAATGTCCTCCACACGTCTACCATATTTTTTAAAGCTTTACTGCGTCCTTGGATGGTGTAACCTTGATCAAACAGCTTTTGAGCAAGATTCGGATTAATGTTAGTGTGACTGGTTAGAATATTGTCACTGTTGAATGTCCTGAAAGAGTCATTCACAGGCGGAATCAAACGGGGGCTCCATATATAGCTATAGTCAGTTAGGGTGATTTGTCATCGTCATGTACCTCATTCCTGTTATACGCGTGGATCCATTATACATTCTCCATAAATACCAAGGAGAGATCACTCAACAATTTAAAAACACTTTAAGTCTGGCAGTCTGATCAGACATCACATTATTCACAAAAAGTAAGAGCAAGTATCAGAGATCACCATTTAAAAGTCTTACTTCATGCTATAATGTTCTCTCCTGTCCCCAAAAGATCCATTAAATTTGTCATTGCACATTATCCATTGTAATCTATTTGTTGCACATATTGACGACATGGCGTATACAATTAAAGTACCTGTACCATGCATGAAGCTTCTAATCTGCAGATGAGTGAGTGAGTTAATGCTTTACGTCACATCGGCAATATTTCAGCCATATCGTGACGAGAATCTGCAGACGTTTCAGAGCAAGGTGTTCTGTTTCTGTACAATAATGGCATGATATAACAAGGCTTGGTTTATTTCACGATAAACATTGTTCCATCATAACGTCATTTCTGGAGATTCGAAAATACTCTCATAACTTTAAGACGTCGTAAATATTGGAAGATGCTATTTATGAGAGTGCAGTGAACTGTTCCCCTTAGATGTTGCTGTGCAACGCAGATAACCGCAATGGCCAAACGACCGCATCTAAATGATGGCGATATATGGTTATCTTTAATTAAAAAATAAACGACGAGAGTGAGTTGTTTATCGTACAATACAAATACAACACGAGGAGCGCATGTCACAGTTCAGTGTTCATTAAATGGACTTGTCCGACGTGCCGAGATCGGACTGTATTCAGGGAGTCATCATTATTCAAAAACGGTGAATGTTTTCAAAGCTTGTAGACGTTAATAACATCCTCAAAGAGGCTTTAAATAATGTTCACATCTCATATAAGAACGACGACTCGTGGTCGCTGTTTTTCGTGCAATATAACACTGCGCGGAGAATAAACTAAAATGCGTCCCTCGTTTCTTCTCCCTGCAGTATTTTATTCTATGATAAGCAACTCCCCCTCATCTGTTTTTTCTTAAATAAAGTACGTAAGTGCACAAATCGTGATTGTAACAAACTGCCCAAACCATATACATTTTCACATGGCTAATCGCTGAGCGCGTTTGTGCGTGGAAATACGACATGTTCGTATGACCTGTATTCATCAGGGCACGGTATGCACGAAGGAAGAAAATTAGCGCTCCCTTACAGCACCGAGTCAAAGGTATTGCCCTGATATCACTATTGTTCAGGTGTCACTGTAGCTGGTACAAGTATGTCTTAAAACTTCGGGAGCTGAGTGAGTGAGTGAGTGAGTTTGATTTTACGCCGCTTTTAGCAATAGCACGGCGGGGGACACCAGAAATGGGCTTCACATATTGTACCCATATCGGGAATCGAACCCGGGTTTTCGGCATGACGAGCGAACGCTTTAACCACTAGGCTACCCGACAAACCCCACTTCACAAGAGTGAGTGAGTGAGTATGGTTTTACGCCGCTTTTAGCAATATTCCAGCAATATCACGGCGGGGGACACCAGAAATGGGCTTCACACATTGTGCCCATGTCGGGAATCGAACCCGGGTCTTCGGCGTGACGAGCGAACGCTTTAACCACTAGGCTACCCGACCGCCCCCACTTCACAAGACAACATGCCAGGAGAGTTAGACAACACCTAATAGCATTAGAAAAGGGCGCCAATTCGCGGCAGGTATTGGTTGTAACACATTCGCTATCCACTGTTTGCGTTATAATGATAGGACTTATTAAGTAACGTAAGGCGACAGCGAGCACGAGCGTCCATTACAATGGGGTGGTTCATGGACTAACATTTAGATTTTTCAATATTTTCTGAGGTTATATTTGTGATGTGACAATTTATTTAGTGATACATTTTATGTAGCCTACATTTGTGAACGTTTGGCAAGTTTCGTTTAATGTTGACAGTTGCGCGGTTTACAAGGGAGGTCACTCTAAGGCAGTAATATGGAAAGGGCGTGTGACCTTGGGATTAAAGCATCCGCATCCGCTCCAACTCGTGTTATTCCGGGACAAGCCGAATAGCGACTCGTGCCGCTCTCGTCGCCATTTTTGCGACCGGGTTCCGTCTTAGCGCAAACGGGTATACCTAAAACAATTGTCAACTTGTTGCGTAATTGTTTACATATATTTCCCCATATATTATATTTATATTAGATGCAATCAAAAGCACATCGGGACATGCGGAATTATACAGTATGATTGAACACATTTAACTGCGTCTTGGTTATATTTTTAGATGCAAGACATATGAAAAATCAAAAATTGTTTCTGAGGGATTCTTTGACGAAGAACTTGAAATCATACGCGCATTCTGATTGGTTGGTCGTATTTTCGCACATAACATTCATCGATAGGGGGACTAGTTTCCTTGCAGGTTACGGAAAGGGGCGAGTGGTGACGAATGCATCCGCTCGTCACGCCGAAGACCCGGGTTCGATTTCAAAGTGAAAACCCAATTATATATTTTGTTGGAATAGAGCTAAGAGCGGCGTAAAGCTATACTCACTCACTCACCATGGATACGTAAATGCCTGTAAATAGGCTACATACTGTGTGGTGAATATATTGTGGCTCTAACAATTCGAAAGGAAAGAAAAAAATAATTCGTTCACTTCACAAAGACAGCTTCACAAATTGTTTACCCAGCCGTCATGTTCATGTCTATTTCAATAATCTTATTTTGTTTCCATGGCAACTGCAATGAAATATTTGTTTACGGATCGAGTGGTCAGGCTTGCTGACTTGGTTGATGCATGTCATCGATCCCAACTGCGTTGATCGATGCTCGTGATGTGAATCACTGGATTGTCTGGTAAAGACTCGATTATTTACGGACCGCCGTCATGTAGCTCAAATATGGCTGAGTGCGGCGTTAAACAACAAATATACAAACAAAAACACTGTATCTTTACCACTGTTTTTCCATGACACACTTTGTAGAACACAATGTTACATAATGCACACTTCCATTCTTTCATTGTATTTGATGTTCTGATATTAAGTGCGACATTGTATTCGATGGGATCAATTGGGATCGATGACATGCATCAACCAAGTCAGCGAGCCTGACCACCCGATACCGTTAGTCTCCTCTTACGACAAGCATAGTCACCTGTTACGGCAAGCATGGGTTGTTGAAGACTCAATCTACCCCGGATCTTCACGGGCAGCATTACTCTTATACAACTAAAATATGCACGTTGGAAGTCTTTAGGCTGAGGCGATATATGTTCTTTAGTCCATTTTTTGTTATTATCCCAATTTTCTATCAATCCAACATATATGGACCTGCATGCCACATAGATAGATAGATAGATAGATAGATAGACATATTGTAAGTGTACTGAAATGACGGCACTTGGGAAGCGAAGGTCTTTTTTAGTTCAGAGTTCTAGTATCACTGTAATGAGAAGAACCACTACATTCAAGTGGTTCGATGATGCCAAACTGATGCTGGGTTTCTGAGGCTGCGCATTAGGAGAAGAGAGCAAGGACCTGGCGCATTGTCTTTTTTTTAGCATACGGTCCGACACAGGAAGCGTACATCATGACATGCGCAATGTAGTTCTGTTCGTGGACCCCGTGGAAGAGGTGTGACATCGGACCCCGTGCATAAATCGCAACATCTTCACCTCCGTGTGTTTCTAGATCCTGCCGCACTGCTGACTCCGCGGTATAATTCAACTTGGCTGAGGAGAAAACATGTTATTCTGAACAAAAGTCAATCTAAAAAATGTTCATTTTCAGTAAAAACAACAAATTAAAGGTTGAGAAACATTGGAAGCTTGACTCGAAAATTGAACGATATTTGGAAAAAATATATATAGTTATATGTAAAGAAAATATGTCGTTTTATCTAATTCGTTTAACCATCAAGAGCAAGATCACTACACCATCTTCTTAGGCATTGTGCGCCGACCATGAGCATTTAAACACATGTTTTAACACAGTCCTAAAGTTCTCACGCCATGTAAATTGGTACGTACGCTGTGTGAGTAATCGGTGATTTTATTTCACTGGGGTTACCAATTTTGAAACATGGCATGCCCTGGAATAAAATTTCAACGAAATCCATTTTGAAATTGTAGCCTCGCTTCCACATTACTCACTCGTCACATCATCCGTCAGGTTACGCCGACCCCCGTAGTTGACGTTTCGGCCGTTTCCGTAGATCAACGTTGTGTATGTCAGGTTGTCATCGTCAAGAGATGCGTCCACAACACCTAGCCAAACGTGCAAAAATGTGTTGTTAATGATAGTATACATTTTGTTTCCAGTTATACATATTTAAAACTTCTGGGCAAAATGATTTACAATAATATATAATATATAAAGAACTACTTAACTTTTAAGTTAAAGAATAAATGTTCTTTTACACCCCGTCAGCAATATTATTGCTATGGCTTACTGTATATAATCGAGTCAGGGAAATGAACTGCGGTTGAGCGAATTTCCACGCCATCAGGTTGGTTGGTTGGTTTGTTGATTTACGCCGCACTCAGCAATATTCCAGCTATATGACGGCGGTCTGTAAATAATCGAATCTGGACCAGACAATACAGTGATTGACATCATAAGCATCGATCCACGCAATTGGGATTGATGACATGCATCAACCAAGTCAGCGAGCCTGACCACCCGATCCCGTTAGTCGCCTTTTACGACAAGCATAGACGCCTTTTACGGCAAGCATGGGTTGCTGAAGACCTATTCTACCCCGGAACCTTCACGGGTCCCACGCCATCAGGAAGCAGTTGACATTCAATCAGTCAGATCACATAGTCAATTCTCATTTTAGTAAGGCCTATGACAATATTGTACTATGGGGAAAGTGCTGTAGATTTCATAATAGTGAATTCAAATTGAGCATACATTACAGAGTTATATAATGCATCTTTCTTTTTGAGCCTTTTTTCAAACTTGAGTAGGGAAGAGAAGATTGGATCTGTTTTGTTAGTTTTTCTTTTGCAGATTAGTCTACTATAAGAGTAAACTTGATTCCAATGTGCCATTATATTTGCACCGCCCCCTTGGGCTCGAACTGTGAAGTTGCGGACCGAGGCCATGGTGACCACGGCTCGTCACCCTCCGAATCTGATACAATAATAGGGGACGGTCGGGTAGCCTAGTGGTTAAAGCGTTCGCTCGTCACGCCGAAGACCCGGGTTCGATTCCCGACATGGATTTTATGTATGAAGCCCATTTCTGGTGTCCCCCGTCGTGATATTGCTGGAATATTGCTAAATGCGGCGTAAAACCATACTCACTGGATGATACAATAAATGATGCGACATATGGAAAAAGTAGAAATACGGTGCAAGAATGACATTTGAGTTGAAGAGGTCGTTTCTTAACATTGCTTAAAATGATAAGAATATTAGGAGCGGGCGTATTTTTAAGGGCGCAAGGGCCATGATAAACAAAAGACTTACTTTAATTGGCCTCATCCTGTCTGAAAACTATAGTGACCCAGCTAACAGCACGTACCAAGAATATTGTTGCCTCTAGAGCGGTATCCGGCCATCATCATGGTGTGGGAGTGGTCAGCTGTGGTCACTATCAACGTGTCCTTCTGACTGGTCAGGTTGTCAGCGCGTGAGACTGCTTCAGAAAATGCTACAGTTTCCGACAATGCAAGTGCCGCGAGGTTTACGTGATGCGCATGATCGATGCGACCGCCTGAAAGATAGGATGATGTGTTGTGAATGGATTTTTAATTTGGTTTAAAACATATTTATTCCATTTGTCGTTTGACTGATTTATGTTCATTAAAGGCGATACCCCGAGGTTTAGAGCTACGCCCTTGTTTGATGATCGTTTAATTGTCATGTGGTTGGTGTACGTGACCGAAGAAGCATTTCTTCATCGTCCAGTTCCAATGCTGAACCTGTTGTTGCGTATACGCCAAAGAATACTCAGGGTCGAGTATCTGCCGGTACAGATTCCATTCGGTGTAAAGGTAAATGAAAATTATATGAATGGGTGACTGAAAATCAGTGATGACACCAAGTGTGTCAAATCAGGGGAAGTTAAGCAACGTCGATCTCGGTGAGTAGTTGGATGGGTGACTACGTTCATCTTCCCGAGGCAAGAGAGTTAACTGACTTTAAAAGTCCAGTTTCCACCCTTGCCGAACTAGGCTGGAATTCCTGGGCTCGATCGTAGCGCCACCAATGGCTATTACGAGTTGTCCTTTCTATGCCTCTCCTATTGACCAATCAGATTCAACCTCTCGTATCACTTGCATTTGTTTCAAACAAAACGGTGGCGCCCAGTCAAGACGATCTGATCGATAATCAAGATCTATATTGTGATAAAACGAGTCTTACATCGCGAAGTGCATCAAATCACGTGAGCACCTTGATTAAAAACATGAAAAGTTTTAGAAAATATCTGTTGACAACGAGTTAGCGGTGCACATGCTTTGCAAATGCTGCAGTCGACCGAAATCTGCATGACATTCTACAAACCGGATTTCGATTTCGGCGCGCGATTTTGATTGGACTATTCATAGACTCGTTAGTCCAGCCAAAATCTAACTCCATAATACCAGCCTAGTTCGGCAAGGGTGGAAACTCGACTTTTATAGTCAGTTAACTCACTTGCCTCGGGAAGATGGACCACGTTAAGCAGTTTGACTCCTGAGAGTTTCTAGGGCTTCGGTCCTGCCCCACACTGAAGCACATGTTCCACATGTGGTGTCTCCTTAGGCAAGTGACTTCGTTCGAAATGAGTCTCTGTTAACCCAGCAGTGAGTGGGTACCCGGTAGGATGAGATGAAACATGAAATACGTTGATTTTACCTTCGACGAAGAGGAAGTATCCCTTGGGGGTTTTCCTGAGTATCTGTATCGCCTTGTCCGTCATGGCAGCTAAAGATGGTTCTTTATATGGATGCTGCTGCCTCTCGGCCTCAAACTGCATCCTGCAAACTGATCCTGGTTGAACAGTCCTTCAACAGTGCAAAGGCAAAATCGCCGTAACGAAATCGTGAAAAAGGGTTTAACGTCGCGTTCGAGATTATTTCACCTAAATGGCATACATTTTTAGCTTGATTGGACTTACGCCGGTGTAGCAGGCTCAAATCAATCCCTTAAAAATTCACTCTGGAGTGTTTTCACCCTTGACTCAGGTCGATCGACTCTACTCGGCCCAAAACACTCACTCAAGGCTCAGACCTCTCCCCGTTAGGCTCAAATCAATCCCCTACATTTTTAATAGTATTCTGTTTCTCCTGTCCGGTTTTGGCATTCAGTTCTTAAACTTTTAGATGTTCGTGTACCCCCCTTCTTACCTGAAAAGGGGCGGTCGGGTAGCCTAGTGGTTAAAGCGTTCACTCGTCACGCCGAAGACCCGGGTTCGATTCCCGACATGGGTACAATGTGTGAAGCCCATTTCTTTTGTCCCCCGCCGTGATATTGCTGGAACAGTGCTAAAAGCGGCGTAAAACCATACTCACTCACTCCTTCAAGGGAACCCCATTCGCATTTTTATCGGATCGTGAGACCAAGATTATCGGATTTGTTATCTATAATGCTATCCATTATATGATAAACGTGTTGATTTTGGAAAGTGAAAAGACAGGGTGACAAAATAAGCATGGTCATTAAATAGATACAGCTACATTTACTGAACGTCACGTTTCCTCCTAGTGCACACGAATTCGCTGTTTAAATCAATCAACAAACCTTTGCCAAAGCAACATGCGGAAACTTGTCAAAACTAAGAGAATGTTCTTCTCCTGACTGCCCTTTGACCTGCCCAGCAAAGATCCGACTGGCTGTGACTGTTGAGATCCCCATACCGTCGCCGAGGAAGAGAATAACGTTGTGGGCGACCCCTACCGTGGACTCCATATTCAGTGTTGCGTGGAGTTCGTCCAGAGCAATTTTATTCCAATACTCTGGGTCTAAAAAATGAATGAGCCTATATTACATGCAAAGCAAAATCATACTCACTTCCAGGTTTTGCCATTAAAAGGCATAAAAAGGTAGAATCACATCAGAGAACAGATAGCACACTTTTTTTGGTAGAATGACATCAGAGAACAGAAAGCACACTTTTTGGGGGTAGAATGACATCAGAGAACAGAAAGCACACTTTATTTGGTATAATGACATCAGAGAACAGAAAGCACACTTTTTGGGGGTAGAATGACATCAGAGAACAGAAAGCACACTTTATTTGGTATAATGACATCAGAGAACAGAAAGCACACTTTATTTGGTATAATGACACTAGAGAACAGAAAGCACACTTTATTTGGTATATGGACATCAGAGAACAGAAAGCACACTTTATTTGGTATAATGACATCAGAGAACAGAAAGCACACTTTATTTGGTATAATGACATCAGAGAGCAGAAAGCACACTTTTTTGGGGTATAATGACATCAGAGAACAGAAAGCACACGTACCGCATCGGGCATGTTTGGTAAATAACATTTATATAACAAAACAGCAGATACAGAAGCGTTTGTCATATCTGCACTAAATTGCAATTGAGTACGTGGTATTTAATTGGTTAACCAAACAAAACAACAAAACAAATTGCAACGCCCACAATTGGACTACTGTTTCCTGATTGGCTGATAACATAATGGGCGGGGCTTGTGTTGCATCTTTGCGCTGAACGATGTCGCTGACTTCGCATTGTTGTCTTTTGTTTTTTATGTGTTAATGAATAAATAAGTAGTCTGTGAAATTATTATTATTTCTGAGAATTATTTTTAATAAGCGTTTTGCTTGTTTTCACCACTTCGGGTTTTCCTCCCACATCAAGCAGACACGCCGTGATGTAACTGAAATAACCAAATTCGCTCACTCGTTAAGAAAATTACCAACAACATACGTAAGCTAGACCGTGCTATTATGCTGTTCGTATACTAAATGCGCCAAAGCCATGGGTGCAAAGTCAGGTGCAAGGGTATACGGGGCAAGGATATACGGGGCGAGGGTATACGGGGGCAAGGATATACGGTGCAAGGGTATACGGGGCAAGGATATACGGTGCAAGGATATAGGGGACAAGGATATACGGTGCAAGGATATACGGGACAAGGATATACGGGACAAGGATATACGGGGCAAGGATATACGGTGCAAGGGTATACGGGGCAAGGATATACGGTGCAAGGATATACGGGACAAAGATATACGGTGCAAGGATATACGGGACAAGGATATACGGGACACGGATATACGGGACAAGGATATACGGGGCAAGGATATACGGGACAAGGATAGACGGGACAAGGATATACGGTGCAAGGGTATACGGGGCAAGGATATACGGGACAAGGATATACGGGGCAAGGGTATACGGGGCAAGGATATACGGTGCAAGGGTATACGGGGCAAGGATATACGGTGCAAGGATATAGGGGACAAGGATATACGGTGCAAGGATATACGGGACAAGGATATACCGGGCAAGGATATACGGTGCAAGGGTATACGGGGCAAGGATATACGGTGCAAGGATATAGGGGACAAGGATATACGGGACAAGGATATACGGGACAAGGATATACGGGACAAGGATATACGGGGCAAGGATATACAGGACAAGGATATACGGTGCAAGGGTATACGGGGCAAGGATATACGGTGAAAGGATATACGGTGCAAGGGTATAAGGGGCAAGGATATACGGTGCAAGGATATACGGTGCAAGGTATACGGGGCAAGGATATACGGGGCAAGGATATACGGGACAAGGATATACGGGGCAAGGATATACGGGACAAGGATATACGGGGCAAGGATATACGGTGCAAGGGTATACGGGACAAGGATATACGGGGCAAGGATATACGGGACAAGGATATACGGGGCAAGGATATACGGTGCAAGGTATACGGGGCAAGGATATACGGATCAAGGATATACGGGACAAGGATATACGGGGCAAGGATATACGGGACAAGGATATACGGGACAAGGATATACGGTGCAAGGTATACGGGGCAAGGATATACGGAGCAAGGATATACGGGACAAGGATATACGGGACAAGGATATACGGGACAAGGATATACGGGGCAAGGATATACGGGACAAGGATATACGGGGCAAGGATATACGGTGCAAGGTATACGGTGCAAGGATATACGGGACAAGGATATACGGGGCAAGGATATACGGGACAAGGATATACGGTGCAAGGGTATACGGGACAAGGATATACGGGGCAAGGATATACGGTGCAAGGATATACGGGGCAAGGATATGCGGGACAAGGATATACGGGGCAAGGATATACGGTGCAAGGACATACGGTGCAAGGATATACAGCATTCAGAACAGACAAACACAGCCTGTCAGGTGGTCATCAAATGAAACTGACAACGTCTCAAATGCAAGGGCTACACACACTCACATGTGCAACCTTTTTTTGCGGTCTGGACTTCGCTTTCCATTGCACATCACAATGTTTCGTCTGACATCAAACTTTGAAGCACATCAACATCATGCTCTCCTTCGATTAAAAAAAACCCCTGGACTTTCTGGTGAACCGCGTTGTCCAATGAATCACCTCAGTGAACTTTGGTTGACCAATGTCAGCACAACTCACTGACGTCATACTTGCGGTTATCTGGTAGGTAACCTCCGAGTGACGTCATCATTAAAGCTGATAAAGCATGGGGTGTTCTTTAACTTCTTTTGAGTAGTATATATCAAAGGTTTCATTTTATGCGTGTCATCTCGGGTATTGTCCTTGATTAGCACACGTTAAGGTCGAATCTTGTCAACCCTTGTTCCATGAAATGTGGTAACCTCTGTTGACTCGGTTTACGCCAACTTAACAATCGAACGTTTGCAGTTGTGTTTTTGTTTTTTTGGTTTGGTTTGTTGTTTAACGCCGCACTCAGCAATATTCCAGCTATATGACGGCGGTCTGTAAATAATCGCGTCTGGATCAGACAATCCAGTGATTAATATCATGAGCATCAATCCACGCAATTGGGATTGATGACATGCATCAACCAAATCAGCGAGCCTGACCACCCGATCCCGTTAGTCGCCTTTAACGACAAGCATAGTCACCGTTTACGGCAAGCATGGGTTGCTGAAGACCTATTCTACCCCGGAATCTTCACGGGTCTGCAGTTGTGTCATAAATGTAACACGTTGACTACTACTCAGGTTAACTTGCATCAAACCAGATTTGCCGACCTCGAGGACATAATGAATACAGTCCCAGGTCCCATCACACATCATGGGGAGCTCGGGTTAGGTTCTCAGCATCCTGTTGCAAGAGGGGATTTAATGGATCCGGTGGTCAGGCTCGGCGACTCGGTTGATCGTGTGTCAACGTACCCCGACGTGACCAACGACCTTCTGATCCGAGGCCGGACGCCTTGCCCACATGACCAAAGAGGTTAACCCCGTCAGCAGGCTGACAAGGTGAGGATGTCATCCGTGGGACGACTCCCCTCCTTGCTGCACACAGAAGGCACGTTCCGGGCCGCACAGAAGGGCACTGGCATATCTTATACTCATGTTTAATATGAACGTGCTCAGCCGAACGTTGGGCGCCAATGAAGCGGCCATTACATTTCCGAGTTCCTTGACGGGATTCGAACCACAGACCTTGTGATCTTAGGTCGGATGACGTCTCCACATGACCATAGATAACCCGTCTGCAAGCTGACAATGTAAGAATGTCATCTGTTGGATGACTCCACGCTATGTTCACGAACACAACTGGAATATTGCTCAGTCAGGTGTCAAAAAGCTGAAACCACAAAAAATCAAGACAGCGTCACCCACCTCTGTCATGCGTGTCCTTCCTGAAAGACTGGGTGGCAGGGAAGGGATATTGATGAGAAAGCCAGAGCATGGACAACGTGAGACACACTGAGAGTAGTCCCTCCATGACTGCACAGATATTGTGGAGGAACAGTGCAGGCAATGTACCCCAGATAGGGGCATACCGGGTACATATCCACCCGTATCTCGGTAGCTAATGTATGTGAGCAGTTTATTTATTTAACCTGTTTAAGCAATAGTAATATTGCACTCCTACGCTGCGTTATTTTTTTATACATGTCGCAGTGTAATTTTTAGAATTGGGTTAATTACCAAATGTCTATATAATCAAGATATTGGGATATTTATCTTTAATGACCGTTGCCCTGGCGTCAATGCTGGGTCAGTTTAGTTGGCCACACACAGGTGTTACACATCACAAACAGTGAGTTCAGTTGAGTGTCTGGCGACACTTGCTCAAGATGTTCAAGGCCTCATTAGGGGGCACGGGTGGCCAGGTCGTCTTAGGCGCCGCAATTCGCTGTGCAGAGTTGCGTCCCTTGGTCACGCCAGAAACCTATGATTGTGGGTTCGAATCCCGGTTTGCCCCGATTGTGGTTTGTCAGCACCATACCCGTGCTCGTGGGTTTCACCGAAGTGGTAAACGTCTGATAATGAGACCTGCATCACTTCGGGCTTTATTCCCACATTAAGCTGACGCCGTGATATAACTGGAATTATGTTAAAAGCGGCGTTAAACCCAACTCACTCACTCACACTCTCAAGGCCTCATTTAAGCTTTCAAAACGTTTTATGGCACACGCGTAAAGGACATTTCCAGATTTGACGCATCAGTGACAAACATTATGTCCAAAGCAAATACTTATTTTGTACCATATGTTCCAGTGGTTTTTTTCAGGTGAACGGTAGATTTGCCTTTGCATTTGTTTGTGACCGGTGGAACAAGATACGCCACCTTTACGCGAACACCTAGTATACCAACTATTTGATGGTGATAAAAAATCACATACAATGATGTGGTCGGAATCGTACAATGGGCTCTCTTTCAGCAGAGATTTCTTATGATTACGGTTTTGTCGCTTTTATTTACACTTCTCAAACAGTGAGTTGTGTTTAACACTGTTTTGAACCGTTTTTCAGTTGTATCACGGCGTGTCAAGTTATATAGGATTCTTGCAAGCCTTCCGTACGCAAATCTGCACGATAAAAATAAGTGAACTACTCGACACAGTTTTAATGTTCAACTCCCCGACGAAGAGTCCCACTCAGAAAACCTAGTATCTCTGCCGCAGGCCGCGCCGTGTGACGATTCGACACATCTTTCACAGTTCATTCAAGATATTGCATATGGTTTTCATCTGTTTCGACGAGTCTTCACATTTAGATAAACGTATGTCATAGAATGGTTAACTTTCATTGAGAAAATATCAGTTTTAACAATTGTCTGCAACGGAACTGCCTGTCGTTCTACGAATTTGCTTCCGAATGTGTCATTCGTCACCCTATTTTACCAATTGCTGTGAAACACAACCCTATTTTAAACATCGCTGTGTAACACAACCCTATTTTACACATCGCTGTGTAACACAACCCTATTTTACCAATCGATGTGTAACACAACCCTATTTTACCAATTGCTGTGAAACACAACCCTATTTTACCAATCGCTGTGTAACACAACCCTCTTTTACACATCGCTGTGTAACACAACCCTATTTTACACATCGCTGTGTAACACAACCCTATTTTACCTATCGCTGTGTAACACAACCCTATTTAAACAATCGCTGTGTTACAAAAACCCTATTTTACCAATTGCTGTGAAACACAACCCTATTTTACCAATCGCTGTGTAACAAAACCCTATTTTACACATCGCTGTGTAACACAACCCTATTTTACCAATCGCTGTGTAACAAAACCCTATTTTACCAATCGCTGTGCAACACAACCTATTTACCTCTGCAGTCGTGTCACCAAGTCGCAGTCGCCAAGTCCTGGTTCAAGCGCTGTTGGAGGAGAACAGGCTTCTTGTATTTGCGAACAATATTTTTCCAATCGCTGCTCAACAGAACCCTATTTTACACATCGCTGTGCAACGCAACCCTATTTTACACATCGCTGTGCAACGCAACCCTATTTTACACATCGCTGTGCAACACAACCTATTTACCTCTGCAGTCGTGTCACCAAGTCGCATTCCAAGTCCTGGTTCGAGCGCTATGGGAGGGGAACAGGCTTCCTGTGCCACATCCTGCGCTACTTCCTGCTGCTCAACGGGAAGCAAAATTTGTTCATCACTCAAGATGAGTTCTGTGAACTGTTTGTTTTTGGGACCGAGAGACGAGAGAAGTGCTACCACAAGCACCTGGTTCCAGGTAGGTGCCATCTTCCCGAGGCAAGGGACTATAAAATTCCAGTTTCCACCCTTGCCGAACTTGGCTGGTATTATGGAGTTACATTTTGGCTGGCCTCTAACGAGTCTGTACATAGTCCAATCAGAACCGCGAAACGAAATCGACATGCCGTTCGTCAACTTCAGTGCAGATTTCGGACGATTGCAGAGCCTGTGTACCGTAACCTGGGCGTCGACAGATATTTTCAAAACCTTTTCATGTTTGCAATCAAGGTGCACAACGTGTTTGATGAATTTTGCGAGGTGGGGCCCGTTGTATTACAATACATATCAGACCGTTTTGGCTGGGCGCCGCCATTTTGTTTGAAGCAAATGCAAGTGATATGAGAGGTGGAATTTGATGGGTCAGTAAAAGGGACGTAGAAGGGACGTAACTCGTAATAGTCACTGGTGGCGCGACGATCGAGCCACGGACTATCAGCATAGTTGGGGAAGGGTGGAAACTGGACTTTTATAGTCAGTAAACCCCTTGCCTCGGGAGGATGGGTTGGTGCGAACAGGTAGGGGCGGCCGGGTAGCCTAGTGGTTAAAGTGTTAGCTCGTCACGCCGAAGACCCGGGTTCGAATCTCGACATGGCTACAATGTGTGAAGCCCATTTCCGGTGTCCCCTGTCCTGATATTGCTGGAATATTGCCAAAAGCGGCGTAAAACCATACTCACTCACCTCCCTTGGTCAAAAGTGAATAGAGAGGGTATAAGTTTGAATCCCGCATTTGTTTCCGATTATGACCCTTGGTCTGTTTCCAAATCTTCTACAACGTCCACCTATTCACAGGGCGGTGGGGAAGCCTGGTGGGTAATGCGTTCGCTCGTCACGCCATGGCCCGGGTCCGTTTCCCCACATGGGTACTATATGTGAAACCCATTTCTGGTGTCCCCCGCCGTGATATTGCTGGAATAGTGCCAAAAGCGGCGTAAAACCATTCTCACGTACTCACTCCTCCTATTCAGAGTGGCACATATAATTGGTGAATTTTGGTAAATTCTTTGGCATCCTCCAGGAGTTTTTTCAGAAAGGACTTTCAGCGTGGATTTATTTTTGGTTGGTGTCTCCTTGAACTATGCAATATTTCTTTGAGGTCAAGTTAGGGGCGCTGGACGTACATCGACAGCACCAATCCCGTCATGTCTGTTTAATGCTGAGTTCAAACGGAACACACACACTCACATGTGTAATTTTCAGGAATATCTACATGTACCTGTGCACCCACAGGTTAATGTTTGACAAGATCCGTCCATTCCCGAGAGTCTACCTCCTGGCTCGCAGATTATTCAGTGTATTTTTGTATTTGTCTTGCCAGTTCCCAACTCCACTTGCTCGCTGGCTCGCTCGCTCCTGCCTCTCCCTCACTCACTCACTCACTCACTCAGTTGTGTTTCCAGAATATCTTTTCCTTGGTGTATTTTTGTATTTGTCTGTCCAGTTCACTCACTCACTCACTCACTCACACACTCACTCACCGAAGTGGTAAACGTCTGAAACCTGCATCACTTCGGGCTTTCCTCCCAAATTAAGCTGACACAACTGGAATACTGTTAAAAGCGGCGTTAAACCCAACTCACTGGAACGCTGACGTTAAGGGTCAAAGGGAGACTACTCCATCAAACCTTAGCGGCAAAACCTTAAGCTTGTTTACAATTTTAACTGTACTCTTTATCAATAAAGTCACTTACGTGATATAAAGATTAATGTCCTTGCACAATTTATTATATAAAAACACAAGACAATTTCTGTATCTGAATTTTCATGTGAAATATGTGAGGTTATCGCGAGGTGCCCCGCCTGAGGCCACTGGATGATCCTGGGTGAATGAAGAGACAAGAAATGAGAAATATTGATGAACAGTAAAAATGGCGTAAATTATTTCTCCTGAAATAAAGACAGTGATTTTTACATGCTCAAATCAGTTTAAACAATTTTTGACAGGATGTACGTAAGCGTGTACATTTTTATTTTTATTTATATTTATTTATCAACAGGGCTATTTGATAATTCAATAAACCTAACTTAACTTAATTATATAATAATCACTCATCGATGGCATGAATGTTAAATCGCCTAGATAAGTTGGTTATGTCCATTGGATTACAATGTATCAAGATTGATATTTTTACAGCTTCAGCTGTCAAATGTTCAGTCCCTGACGTTCATTCCCGCACGTTCGTCTATTTCCGTGAGGGTTCATTCGCACCAGCTGACATCTCCCAGGAAGGTTGTCGTGACAAACACTTTATAAATCTGCTGAGTAAGTAATATTTCACATTAAATTATGTAATCATATGCATAATAATAATTATGTAAAGAGCAGAATGTCTTATAATTCAGTTGAAGGCCCTTGTACAATGCGATATCTCCATTGTTTTCACGAAACAATGAAATTGTGGCGTCATAAAATGGACATAATATATTGTTAATGTATGTAAGCTATATCATAAATTGGAAAAATGACATGGCCTTTCATTGACTGTGTTTCAAAGCCGTCCAAACACCATGTAATCAATAAGCCACCTGATGTACAGGAAGGTTTATTGACGACACACACGGGCCCATTTGTGAAAAACTGGCAATAGTTTCAACAGATGCTAGCTTTGCACGCAGGGCACGTGCCGAACATACCCACCTGGTAGTCCCGTGCAGCACTGTTCCCACGTGACCGTTGTTTGGTTGGTTGGTTTGTTATTTTACGCCGCACCCAGCAATATTCCGGC